CTTACAAAATTACCCTAATTTTCACTCTTTTCCGTCTCAATCACATACTACTATTTTGCATAGTCATGTCTAGCCTTTAGAAAATCATGCTTGCTAACGAAGTATTCTACGTAACCATAGAAAATATACATACAGCAAATTCTTCATATACATTTGCTCTGATGTACCTGCATTACTGATTGACCAAGCCTGGCCGGTTGATATTCAAGCGATCACCTGGGCAGACATTATGTTCTTTAAAATTTTCCAAAGACATTAAATTTTCTCAAGTCTCCCCTGCCTATAAATACCTGCTCTCCGCAACTCTCCAACTACGTCTGGTTCTTCAATTGTAGCAGTCATGGCAGCTTGTGTAAGCTATCTACCTCTCTTCATTCTTTCTCTTTCTACTGCCTACTCTGTTCCGGTTCAAAGTGGAGTTGGCTTCAGCGCCCAACTCATCCACCGTGATTCGCCAAGATCTCCTTTCTACAACTCCTCAGAAACCCATTCACAACGCCTGACTAACGCCCTTCACCGTTCTATCAACCGCCTCTCTCACTTCAACACATCAAGACATGAACTTCAATCCGACGTTTATTCAGACGGTCATGGCGAATACATCATGAATATATCAATTGGTACGCCACCAGTGGAGATTTTGAGTATAGCTGACACAGGCAGCGATCTTATATGGACGCAGTGTAAGCCTTGCGCTCATTGTTACAAGCAAGATGCCCCTCTGTTCGATCCTAAGTCTTCCTCCACCTACGGGCCTCTGTCATGCTTGTCAACAGAATGCAAAGCTCTGAATGAAACTATAAAAGGGGCTTTTTGCCCCCCCAAAGCAGGGGATAGTACTTGCTTGTATAGATACACCTATGGAAGTGGATTCACAAATGGTGATCTTGCCACCGAAACAGTCACCCTAACGTCTGTTAGCGGTCAACCGATAGCCTTTCCGAAGACTATAATCGGCTGCGGAAGGAACAATAGTGGAACCTTTCACAAGGAAGAATCTGGTATCATTGGCCTCGGGGGAGGTGTTGTTTCCCTTGTTTCCCAACTTGGTCCTTCAATAGATGGAAAATTCTCCTATTGCTTGGTTCCTATTTCTGCCGTGCCTTACTGCTCAAGCAAAATTTACTTTGGTGCTAATGCTATTGTTTCAGGGTATGGAGTCGTCACTACTCCTTTGGTAAAGAAAAACCCAGACACTTTCTATTTTCTTACCCTACAAGCGATCTCTGTTGACGATGTTATAATAGAATTCAAAGGTTCTGCTTTTGGAACCACAGAAGGAAACATCGTCATTGACTCGGGGACTACAATGACACTGTTGCCTAAATACTTTTACTTGGAATTGGAATCAGCAATTGCTAGTAAGATACAGGCCAAGCGTGTTCATGACCCTGATAAGGCTTTCAGTCTCTGCTATAAATTTAATTCCAATTTCAAAATTCCCAAAATTGTAGTTCGTTTTGCTTTTGCTTCTGTGAAGTTGGATCCTTTAAACACCTTCATCTTGATATCTAAGCATGTTGGGTGCTTCACGTTTTTACCGACGGACAACGGGCTTGCAATCTATGGGAACTTGAATCAGATGAACTTCTTGATTGGGTATGATATCGTGAAGCGGACTGTTTCCTTCAAGCCAACTGATTGCACAATGCACTAGCTTTATGCTTCTGCCTTTCATATTTGGTTCTACGTATATGTGATTGCCCATCCATACAAGATATTGATGTATTTTCTTTGTTTTCTTAATTTGGACTAGAATTCATCTGTACCTGCGCAATTCAAAGTACTTATGCTTGCAATTGTATGGAATGCTTGTTTAGTGTTTGATGGAAAAGAATATAACTTCTGTAAACTTTGACTCTAGTGGCCTTTATCTGCTACTACTGCCTTCTAATTTTTCTTGTACAATAAAATAAATTCTGATTAGTGAATGCTTCTAAATTTTGGTGGGTGAAGATTGTGCTTCTATATTGTTCTGCATGCCTTTGGTTTGATTATAATATAGGTAAAATCTTACATTAAGCTTTGAACTTATTCTAGATTTTGGATTAAGTCCCTAAACTTTTATTGAAGCAAATAAGCTCATAAACTCATCTATTTGGGCAATTTAACATTCTTTCTTACAACAAACTTAATGTTCCTTTGTGCTTTTCTTGCATGGATAAGGTCAATACCTACTACATAAGCAATGACATATCAATACTTTTATCCACACAAGTGATACATAGATTGACGTTAAGTTTGCCCTAAAAAGGAAGAATTAAATTGCTCAAATTTATTTGCATTAATAAAAGTTCAGCGACTTGATCAAGAATCTAGCATAATTTTGGGGGCTTAACATAGCACATGACCTAATGAAGTAGCTATTATTTTTAATGTGAAACGATTGAACATTTTAGTTAATGATTTGTTCTATGTTATCTAATTTTTAGTTACTGATTTCATAATTAGCTAAATTATCTGTCATGATTAACGTGGGAAACTAATCTTGCTAGTCCCATTCAAGTGGAGCACCATAACTTTGTCATTTAGCCTTTTGCAATACTATAAGAGTTTCAAAGTTGTATTATTTTAGGATAAGATCATGGGAGTAACCCAATAAATTAAGCTATTTTTTTTCAATCTTCCACATAATGGGCAGCCATAAGTAATTGAAAATGAAAGGTAAGAGCATGAATTTGAAATGCTCTTAGCTCTTAGCTAAAAGCTTGAACTAACTTCTATATTGCTAGCGGTCTAACTAGGATATTAAGATAAGAGTAAGGTATTTGTTTCAACTTATTTGTTTGTTGATTTTGGACTTTTAATAATGAGATTTATTAGATTAGTTAGTGTTTTTTTTGCAACTTAAAATGTATTTTGTTTGCATTTTAGGGTCAATATGGAGTGCCAACCTTTCTAGATTATGCATCTTAAAGTAATGATGTTGTTGGTGGCAACAATGTAGAGAATTTGGATATGATATTTTAAGGCTGCAATGAGTTTAATTGTTAGTAACAACAATGTCATTTTCTAATTATTTTGTGATTAAATATGGCAACTCAAGCTTTTGGATGCCCTTATATATTGTTGTATGCTATTTGGATATCATTTTCTAAATATATTCAGCTTTAGAAACTTAAACATTTAAATACTATTTAGGCATTGTTGTTATGTCTTCTTTAGATATAACAAAATTAGGCATTTAATAATATGTTAACTTTGTACATATTTTTGATTAATTAATATTATATTTGGTTTCATTAATTGTGCTCTAATTTTAAATGAGCTAACAAATGGGCATTGTTTTGATACCTAGAAAATAGTGAGAAGATTAAAAAAAATTATTTTTCTTGCGTGTAGGCAAATGCCATCAACCAAAAAAGAGGCCCTGTGTTTGACCCAAAAATGCAGGTGAAAACATCAAATATTTGAGACTTTAAAGACGGGCATCACTTGCGTTCTTTAAGTGGTTTTCTCGTGTTTTCAGTAAATGTAGGGGAAAAGAAGGTTATATCAATGTTTACATAAAATGCAAGTATGGTATTCATTGGTGTCACTGATACCAACATTTAAGTGATTTTCCCACATTTTCAGTAAATGTAAGGGAAAAGAAGGTGCTGAGGGATGAATTTGTATGGTTTTGAAATTGATGACATGTGTGGTTCCACATCAGCAAGGGCCTGCATGACTTATTTACCACATTAGACATGCTGTTCTTATTTTCTGCTGATTATTGCAACAAAGTCAGCATTGCTAGAAACAACATTCATATACTCTATTGGGAACACTACAAAATGCAACACACTCTAGCATCTTTATATACATGGCTAGACATGGCTAGATCTATTTCCATGACCTGGTTGGACATTTTCGACGATCATGTCCCTTGCAGCAATATTCACTTCTAACTCATATGGCTCCCAACAATGGAGAAAGGGTCATATTCGTTATCTTATTTAGCCTCCAACAATGGGTAAAAAGCTATACATCTTTGCATATCTTCATCACATTAGATCCTGACAACGGATAAAGAGTCGAATTTCTACATATTTTATCTCACTGGCTCCTGAAAACGGACAAAGAGTCAATGCAACTTAATACGATTAGCGTGAGGCCAGTAGCAGTTGCAACCTTGCAATTGAATGGGATGGCTACCCTCTAGTGATAAAAATCCATCAAGTAGCAATTGACGGTCCCTTGATGGTCGCCCGTGCATGGTGGTGCAGTGCCTGACGGGCAACAACAACCAAGACCACCCTCTGACAATGGAGGTACAATAAGAAGGGTCAACGTTTGTCAATGATATCACACCTTGTCGTATCGGAGACCATGGATGCGGTTGGTGTCCCCCTTCCATGGAGACAACTCCACCTTTTTCTTTATCACATCCATCGCTATGGCGGAGTCTAGTTTAGTGAGATTTACCCCTTCATGACTTGGTGGATTAGTGGGAGTGCTTTTCTGATTCCACATAGTTTACGCTCCAACCATGGGCAAAGCTAACCACTGTTATCCCTCTAGTTATGGGGAAGCTATTCATGATTGACCCTACAATGCTTATATAACATGGCCAACAGTCATGCACAGTATCATTCTTCTATACAAAGGGACAAAATTACCAGTCGTTGGTAATCCCAACTCATAACACATATTTTCTCTGTCTGACATGTTAGTAGGTATCACCGACAAATGATGCTTGGCTCAAGACAATGATATCGCAACACACATCCATACCATTTGTTCCTTATTCTAGCGCAACACCAACCATGTACAGTAGTAACATATTGGTGCCCATCATGGCTAGCAAACAAATGGGAGTAATGAACATTCATTTACATCGTCCCCTTCAACACACAAGGGAGTTCCGTTGTTTGTTGCATATATTTATATATTTTACGCTTAAATATTTGAACATATATTTACATGTATTTTGCTGTCATTGCAGATAAATACAAGCCCATGAATCCAAGCCAATTTTTCAATAAAAGAAGAACCAAATTTTAAGATAAAAAAGGAAGCAAGAAAGTGTACTTACCTCTAACTCCAGCATTGCCAGTTGCTTCCTACCCGAATTCTCCAATAGCAACACCAACGTGGCCATACTTTTCCTCCGTCATACCAAGAATGGGAGGATAGACGGGTACCCATTGTCCATTATCCTCCCTTCACCAAGAATGTTTGTTGCAATAGCTCAAGAAAGAATTATTATGGGTGAAAAGACGTTCACAATCCCAAGAAGTAAGATCATACTCCACCACTTCTGGCAATGATTGAATAAAAGTCGCAAACTTCTTCAGCAATGTGTCCCAATACTCCAACATTGGTGATGACATAGTTCACATTCTGATAGTGCTAAAAAACCTAAGTGTGGCAACACCTTCACTCCACATGGTTATGGCAGCCTCATCAATGTAAGGCCGCAAGGCCTTGTTCCAATCTATCTTATCTGAGGAAGGAGCGGAAGGAATATCCTGATCATAGTTGAATTGCCTTGCAACTCTTTCTGGGCAATAGCACTCTAAACTCCATGTCCCTTGCTATGTAATACACGACAACATGGATGGCGTAACCACTGCCAGCATCTCCAGATGACTTGAATTTCTTGTAGTAAAGTCTACAATCTGGCTCCCAAGCACTACTGGGAGTGTCTTATCGAAGAAGCTCACTTCAAGTGGAGCAAATGTCCTTGGCATTACCTTGTACGCATGAAAATTAAAACTGTCATAGTCATCCAAAAGGTCGTCAACTTCCAGGACTATCTGCCCCTTCACTTTCCTTTTTCCTATCCAAGAGCAAGTTAGTGAAGTCGTTTTGCTGGTGTAGCCACACTTCACCATGGGATATTCGTTCAATGCTTTTCCACTAGTAACATGGCCAAAATGATAAAGGCGAAATCTCTCCCACGCAAACATTTATAGCAAAGATAAACACACATGTGACTCAATGATATAATAATTGGCACCAAGAATTTCATCAAAGTGAAGCAAGTCAAGCATGTGATAAAGCATACTTAACATCAGCGGAGCTAGAGGGAACCTCACACCTTTAGCCAAGCAGATTGCTAGAGGAATGCACTCCGCCGTAATCTCATGATTCAAGAAACCCCCAAAGACAAACTTACTCAACCAAGCTGTAAGGAAGGCTGCACAAACGTATGGAGTATCTTTGCCTTTGCCAATTCGAAAGTATCGCATCTAAGTTACAAAGTCAATACTATACTCCCGTTTCCATGATTGAGAAGAGGTGCTGGCATTTTTCCTCATTACATCTCATGATTCGAGAAACCCCCAAAGACAAACTTACTCAACCAAGCTGTAAGGAAGGCTGCACAAACATATGGAGTATCTTTGCCTTCACCAGTTCAAAAGTATCGCATCTAAGTCGAAAAGTCAATACTATATTCCCCTTTCCATGATCGAGAAGAGGTGTTGGCATTTTTCCTCATTACTTTCCTTAAGGCCACTTGTGCAACACGCTCATCTGGTGTCAGCGTTATGTGTCGCAGATCCTCTTCTCTAACGACAGGCAACAGCATCAAATTTGTCATATCCTTTAAAGTCACAGTGACTTCCCCAAAAGTGAGAATGAAAGTATCGGTACTTGTGCACCATCTTCTCACCAAGTGATAGAGGCATTCCACATTGCCGCTAATCTATAAAGTCTGACTCAGAGCCACCAACTTAAGGATCCCGACAGCACGTAATATTTCCACAAAACCATGCTCGGCAAGCATCTCCTTGGCCCAACCTATCCAATCCTCCATCTTACTAGACGGGAACGCAAAATAGATTAGCACGAGCAGCAAATCCAACCTCTCAAGCCTTGCCCGCATTAAGTCACTCGACGAAGGAAACCACGTTGCACTGATGTCACCTTCTTTCAAAGCGTCAAGCAAACCTAGATCTTTTTGCTTCTCAAGTGCTCTTTTTTCCGACCAAGTGCTAAATTCCAAGAAGCCGTCCCAGAAGGTATACCATGGATCATGGCACGAGTGCACTCCATCGATCGAATAAGGATCAACCATCTCTAAGGCCTCCTTC